GAAATACAGGTGCAATCTGCTCATCTCCATATTCTGTTTGCAAGGCTTTCTTAGCTGTGGCGAGTCACCCTTCACTTACCCGTCACAGTCTTCTCTTCCTCAGGGCTGATGGTGTTTTGACATTTATTTGCCCATTTCTGAGCACTAGCTGCCACGTCAGGGTCCCATTCCTTAAGGAAACAGAGAGGCAAATATTCATGCAGTGTAAGCACAGCTCATAACAGAGAATGTAGAACTGAAAACACATTTAGAGATTTGGTCTGCCATCACTCAGCACAATCCTGTGCATGTCGTTGGAGTTAGGCCAATTCATGCCTGAGGACCTGATTCAGAGCAGTCAGCTTTTATAATGCTGAAGATTATAACTGCTCAACTATTTATTAACGTGGATAGATTCCTTAAAGAAAACTGTTCAAGCCAGCACTCCCAAAGGTAGGTCTTTTATTGCCAAGTCCACCCAAGTCTCCATGTCTTGGAGGCTGCCCTGGATGATGGCATCTTATTGAAAAGGGACATCATTTTTGATAGTTCAAGTATGCTACCCTAATGTAAGCGCTGTTACCTCTCAGCTCTGTGTTATTGGGGAACCCTGGCACAGGACGCAGCCTGTCAGACTCACAAAGGACTTAGCCCCCTCCCCAACTCTCCCTGAACAAGAACTCATTAAAGGACAGACTTATAAAAGACAATGAAGATGCAGAGGGAGGCCCACTGAAAGCCCTCCAGATAAGGGTGATAGGAGTGAAGCAACTCCCCTGATCTCATTTACATGGGAGATGGGATGGGAAAGCACCTTCATTAGAGTTCAGGATGGAGAACAGAGAGTCCAAGGCAAGGAGCGCACTGAATTCTGGGACCAGAGAAGCAGGGGAGCACTGCATGATGGGGGATCCCTGCTCCAAATGCTAATCAACCCAAGTCTGCACACACCCAGCTCAGCTTTTATCAGACCAATTCTAGTAATGACTCCTTTATTGGTACCTAAAACACTGAATCTGCCTGTTTGTATTGTGAGCTTCCTCAGAGTAATGCCAACGATAGCCAGGTGTGATCAGTTCCTGTTATCCAGCACATGAGCCATCGTTTACGTCATTTATCCCTAAATAAACCTAGTGTTTCCCCTTGAGCCATTGTTAGTTCTCTAGAAAATCTTACTCAAGATCAAGTTTCTGTCCTGGTGCTTGGATCCAAAACTGCACCCATTCCACTCCTTTTCTGCCTGGAATCCCTCCATGGGTCACGCTGAGGGCTCTGCCTGTCTGCAGGCTCCAACCAACACCTGGGACCCTCGACTGGTTCAAGCTTTGCTGAGTGGTGAGACCCCAACTCTTTCTCTCTCTGACTCTAGGAACCTAACTTTTGCTTTCTTACTCGAGACACAACTTTCTAAACCTGACTTTTGTTCTCTTACTCTAGGCACAGCTTTCTAAACAGGACTTTTGCAGATCAAACTTGAGCTAGACTTCCCCAAATACCTAATTGAAAACAGTTAATATTGTAACTGTTTTATTTGTCTCTCTTGTATGCCTATTGCTACTGGTATCATCATAAGTTCATATATCTGGTGATACATAACATTTATGGTCAAACTGGTTGCTCTGCTCTCTCTCTGAACCTTCCTTACTTTTTTTCCCCTTGACCTCCCCATTTGCTCTGCAACAATGCTTCTTTTATGGAAGCCAAAGACCCCTGTAATGCATAAAACTATGCTGTGGTCTGCTCATCAAGGGAGCTACTACTAGGACCTTTGTGACAAGAGATTGGAACATGTTGAGTTTTGAGGCGCATGAGGGTATCAGCTGAAAGTGCTGATCAAACCCAGCCTGCTCAGACATACTCTGTTAGTGTGTGTGCATGTGTGTTTAACTGCATTTATTATTGTTCTGCTGAAATAAGGGATGAACTGAGTTTAAGACACATGAGGGTGTCAATGCTGAATGGGTCAGGATACAAGAGGGTTGGGGGGGAGAGTAGTGGGGGTCTACTATAGACTGCCACACCATGAAGATGAGCTACACTTGGGATTTTCCAGACAGCTCTGAGAGGTCATACAGTTGAGAGATATGGTTGTTATGGGTGACCTAAACTACCCAGACATCTGCAGGGAGGAGCAGTCAGCCAAATCAAACTACTCACATAGGTTCTTAACCTGCATACAGGACCTCCACCTAATGCAGGAGGTATACAGTCCCACTAGGGGAAATGCCTTGCTGGACTTGGTGTTAGCTACAGGGAGGGTTGTTGTTCCTCAAGAGAGCAATCCTATGGGCTCAGGAGACAATCCCATTGCACATAAAAGGAGACAAAGGGGCCAAGATGCCCTCTTGGCTGAACAGGGAAGTGCAGGAAAGCCTAAAGGCGAAGAAAGAGGTATATAGGCTGTGGAAACGGGGTAGCTACCAAGAAGAAGTATATCTCCTTGGCTCGCACTTGCAAAGAATCAGGAAAGCTAAAGTAGGATTAGAACTTAGGCTGGCGACAAAAGTTAAGGATAACAAAAAGTCCTTCTTCAGGTATACAGGGAGCAAAAGGAAGGTGCAGGATAGCATAGGACCCCTACAGAACAAACTAGGGCAATTGGTGATCGAGAGGGGGGGCAAAGCTGAGCTCTTCAATGAGTTCTTTGCCTCTGTATTCCTAGATACAGACCAAGACAAGTCTCCCAACTGAATCATAGATAGACACAGGAGGGACACCAGCCCACCAACTGTTAACGTAGGCTTAGTGAAGTGGCACTTGGAGCGGCTGGATGTGTTCATATCAGCAGACCCAGATGAAGTTCATCCAAGGGTGCTGAAAGAATTGGCCAGTGTCATAGCAGAGCTACTAGAATGGCTGTTCGAGCACTCATGGTGCTCTGATCAGGCCCCAGAGAACTGGAAAAGGGCCACTGTGTTCCCTATTTTCAAGAAGGGGAGGAGGCAGGAACCAGGAAACTATAGGCCAGTTAGTCTCACCTCCATCCTTGGGAAAACTCTGGAAAAAAACCATTAAGGATCACATTTGTGGGAGCCCAGCAGGGGAACTAATGCTGAAAGGAAATCAGTATGGGTTAATTACAGGTAGATCCTGCCTGACTAACCTTGTTTCTTTTTATGACCAGGTCACAAAATGCCTAGATGCAGGAGTTGAGGTAGATGTCATCTACCTAGACTTTAAGAAGGCCTTCGATACAGTATCTCATTCTGTTCTTGTAAATAAACTGACAGGCTGTGATGTAGATGATTACATGGTCAGGTGGCTGGCATATTGGCTTAGGGATCGCACCCAGAGAGTGGTGGTGGAGGGGTCGATATTGACCTGGAAAGATGTGGGCAGTGGAGTCCCACAAGGCTCAGTCCTTGGATCGGTGCTATTCAATGTCTTCATCAGTGACTTGGATGAGGGCATAGAGAGCACCCTGTCCAAGTTTGTAGATGATACCAAATGATGGGGCAAAATTAACATAACAGAGGGTAGGGAATGGATCTAGGTGGATCTGGAGAGGTTGGAAAAATGAGCAGAACAAAATAGGATGCAGTTCAACAAAGACAAATGCAAAGTACTGCACTTGGGCAAAAAGAACCACCAACACACTTATAGGCTGGGGGACGACCTTCTCAGTAGCACGGCAGCAGAAAGGGATCTTGGAGTCATAGTTGACTCCAAGATGAACATGAGTCGTCAATGTGACGAAGTGATCAGCAAGGCTAACCACACTTTGTCATGTGTTAGCAGATGCATGACAAACAGGTCCAGGGAGGTGATGCTTCCCCTCTATGCAGCACAGGTCAGGCTGCAGTTGCAGTACTGCGTCCAGTTTTGGGCACTGCACTTCAAGAGGGATGTGGAAAATCTCAAGAGGGTTCAGAGGAGGCCACTCATATAGTTACAGTTCTGTAGGCAAGGCCCTATGAGGAGAGACTGTGGGACCTAGATCTCTTCAGCCTTTGTAAGAGAAGGCTGAGAGGTGATCTTGTGGTTGCCTATAAATTCCTTAGGGGAGGGCAGCAGGGAATACGAGATGCTCTATTACTAGGGCACCCCCTGGAGTAACTAGGAACAACAGCAACAAATTGACAGAGACCAGATTTAGGCTGGACATTAGAAATAACTTCACAGCAAGGGTTGCCAGAATCTGGAATGGGCTTCCACGGGTTTTGGCTCTCCCCTACCTTCGGGTCTTCAAGAGGAGACTGGACAAGCATCTAGCTGGGGTCGTTTGACCCCAGCGCTCTTTCCTGTCCAGGCAGGGGGTCGGACTCAATGACCTACTGAGGTCCCTTCCAACCTTAACATCTATGAATCTATGAATCTATAAATATCCTAGCCTGCCTCAGATGTGCTCTGTTAACCCATATGCTTGTGTTTGACTGCATTTTATTGTTGCCCTGAGGAACAGAGTTCAAGGTATACGAGAGTTTTAGCCTGTCAATGCTGAATAATCTGGCCTGACTCAGGCATGCCCTGTTAATCTTTGTGCGTATGTGCATATGTGTGTTTGACTGATTCGGTGGTTGGAGGAACCCAGCCCCATAGAACCTGAGTCCTGTCAGATAGCTCCATTGCGTGTCAGGACTAGCAGAAGGGAGAGATGCAGGTCTATATAGAAACACAAGTAACATGAGGAGCCCATTGATAGAATTACAGAGACTCCAGAAATGTACCCCTAATAAATGAGCACAGCCCAAAGTGATGGGCAAATCTGGTAACGGTGCCTGCAACCCACTTCCCATCCTGCTTTAATAATTGTGTGATCGCCCTAGAGGACATTCATCCCACTGTATACAGGATGATAGGGCAAACTTGTGCTCCACTGCACAAAACTCCAG